CCTACGGCCCCGGGGGAGACCGTGCGTCGTTTCACTGACCCCTATCCCCCATCGCCCATCCCCATCCTGAGCCCGACGATCTCAACACCCCAATTGAGGATATGATCCCAGGTCGAGGGTTCACAACCCCCCCCCCTGGATGGGATGGGTCCCAGGGTTTCCACAGGCCCCCCCCCCCCAGATGGGACGGGGAGGGGACGGCCACGCCGACGTTGACGCCCACGCCCACGCCCACGCCGACGCCGACGCCCACCCCCACGCCGACGCCCACGCCGCCGACAACGACGACGACGGCGACGACGACGCCGACGCCGACAACGCTGCCGACGCCGCCGCCCTTCCGCCGCCGCCGCCCCGCCGACGACGACGACGACGCCGACGACGACCGACGGACGGACGGACGGACGGACAACGGCGGCGACACCGGCACCCTCCATGCCACGCCCACAGAGCCACGACCTCAGAGGGGGGGGAGGGGGAAGTCCCATTCGCGAGACTTCGCGAGGCTCAGGGGCGTACCCATCCAGCGGGGGGGGGTCTCGATCCCATACTCATGGGGGGGGACGGGGGGGCAACCCTGGATCATGTACCCCTCGCAGCGCAACCCGAAGGAAGCAGCCTATATCCCCATCTGGAGGGGTAAATCGGCCAATGGTCTGGGTTTTTTCCCTCCATTACTATTTTGAACGAGTTGTGGGCACAAACGAAAATCATGATGTCCGCCTGGGCCCCCGTCGGACGAGCGGAAATGCGAGCGCAGTTGTGCGCGCGGTCGCGCGCGACCCGCCGTTGGTAATAACGTGAATGCGCGGGCGTCACGGCGACGACGACGGCGACGGCGACGACGACGGCGGCGCCTGCGCCGACGGTGACGACGACGGCGGCAACGGCGACGGCGGCGACGACGAACGTCCCGGCGACGGTGGCGACGGGGCCCGGGCCCACGGGCGAACTTGCGCCCCGCCCTCGCTCCTGGAGTCCCGGGCCAAATTCTATGGGAGGGGCGAAAATTCCGCGCGCAATGTTACCCCAGCCGATTTTTCGCTTTAGTAGAGCCTTTTTTTCGCTAGAGTAAAACGTTTTTTTTTTTTTTTTCCGGAATGTATCGAGCGGCGCGCCTTTACTAAAGCCGCTCCCTCGCTTTAGTAAAGTGTTTTTTGGCTTGAGTGAAGCCGCTTCTTCGCTTCATTGACGTCGTTTCCTCGCTTTAGTAAAGTCCGCGACTTGCCTTAATAGAGCCTTCGGGATGCGGTCGTGGTGCGGGGCCAGGGCCCGGTCGGGAGGGCGGGGCCCCTGTCTTTCATGCCGGTTCTCCCCGCGATGCATCCGCTCGAGTAATCAGGGTCGCGTTACACCTGGTCGCGGCGACCTTTGGATATGTTTTCAACGAGTTGTAGATGCCCCTTGGCAGAAGACTCAGGGCGCGAACGCAGGACGTGGTTCGGCAATTCGGACGCGCCGCCGCGGTTGTCGCGCAACAAAGCAACACTATTTTACTAAATGCTTGTTTCCATTCGCAAATCGTTTCTTCAAAGTAATAGTGTGAATCCATCGTTTCCAAAGTGGGGCCCAGGCCACGCCTGTGAGGACAGAAGTCGGTCAAACGATGCTTGGATTTCACGCGGTCCTCCACCCTGCGGTTCCACCGCGCCGCCCACCCAGTAGATACTTCTTTAAGGTGGTTCGTTCGTACAGATTCGTTCAAAGATTCGTTCGTAAGAACTCTATAGTAAGGATTCCGTAGTACACATGCCTTACGAATGACCTTCTGTTCAGATTTCTTACAGATGAGTCATTCGTAAGGATTCGTTTGTGGATTCGTCTGTCAATATTCCTTCTTAAGTATTCCGTAGTACAGATTCCGAATGAAGGCTTTGTTATCGATTCGTTATTCAAGGTTCGTATATTCACTATTAAAGTATGTTTGTACAGGCTCTTTATTCAGGATGCCTTAGTACAAATTCTGGACGAAGGTCCGTTTGTACATAGTCCTTATTAAGGAGATCGTTGAGGGGAACTTCCGTGGAACGCGCATGCTTGCCGGGCGGTTCCTGTTGCCCGTTGCCCGTTGCCCCTTCGCTTTCCCCCCCATGGGGCCCCCAGGCGGGGTCTTTTCTTCTCTTGTAGGAACGTTGGGGTTTGATGGGGCCTGCAGGTGGTGTTGTTAGTTCGTTGTGTTTTATTGTTGTGGTTGTTGCTATATTCACCAGTGAAAAATACAGCCAACGCGCCTCGTAAGGACGCGCGCCTTCATCTAGGGCGCCCTTGTGTCCTTGCATATGCGGCCCGTCCTTTGCCGTTTTCACGGGTCGCCCGGGTGTTTTTCCCGGGGTTCGCTCTCTGCTTTTGATCAGGGAAAGTCTTGGGTCTCAGAATTAGGTCTACAACAACAGCGGTTCCCGCCTCGTATTTCCCGACGAGTTATTTCCAAATCGCGCTCTCGTGCGGGATGTGTTACAATGTATGCCAACATCGCGCTCTCGCGTTGGATTTCCGATGTATTCAAACGCGGTGCCTTCGACACTCAGGAACCACGCTCTCGCTGCGGATGTTTCGCGATGTTCTTGGGAATCGCGCTGTCGCTCGAAATTTTACGTGCGATTCATGCAGGACGCACGCTTCAGCAACCCGCCTGCTCGACGTGGCCGCCTGGGCCCACATTCCTGACCCGCCTGTGTTCTGCCACGCGTTTCCTGTCCCTCTTGCTTATTTCTCTCTCTCGTGCTCCATTCTCCCCCCTCCCCCTTGTCCCTTCCTTCCATCTGTCCTCTCTTCCCCTGCCTTAGGGGCTGCACGAAAGACACGCCGCAGGTAAGAACGATATATCCCCAATGGGGGTACGATCGAAGACGAATAGGGCGGGTCTCGAGGGTTTGAGATATACGTGTTGAACGGCACGCGAGCAGATCAGAGCGAGCATTCTGAAAATTATTGTTGGTGTTGTGTCTGCTGTTGCTGTTGTCGTTGTCGTTGTTGCTGTTGGTGCTGCTGCTTTGTTGTTGTCGCTACTGTTGTTGCTGCTGCTGGTGTTGTTGCTGTTGTCGTGGCCTTTGTTGTTGAACTCTCACAGTTGAAGTATATGGATTGTTGATCCCTCCTCCGGTGGCCATTGTGCTTTTCCCATTGAAGTGCTGCCACCGTGGCTCGCACCCTCTTTCATCACAGAAACAGGGAAAGACATCAAGCTCAAAATGCACAGTTGGCCCCCAGATTGCAACAACAGCGGTTCCCGCCTGAAATTTCCTCACACTCTAGCCAGGACCCCCACTCCCGCCTGAGACTTCCTCGCATTGCATTCAGGAGTCGCGATCTCGCTTGGGATTTCCTTTCGCTTTACTTTGGGATCGCCCTCTCGGCGCTCTGGAGTGGCGCTCTCGCTGGAGATTTATTTGCAGTTTACTCAAGACACGCGCTCTTGTGTCGGAATTTCGCACAACATAATCAAGAACTGCGCTCCCGACACTCAGGCACCCAGTAGTCGCGCTCACGCTTGGGACTCCCTCACAGCTTACTTAGGAATTGGGATCTCACTGCCCTTCGCGGCCCCGTTGCAGCCCTTCGTGGCCCCCTCGCTGCCCTTCGTGGCCCCGTTGCAGCCCTTCGTGGCCCCCTCGCTGCCCTTCGTGGCCCCGTTGCACCCCTTCGTGGCCCCCTCGCTGCCACTCGTGGATCCGTTGCAGCCCTTCGTGGCCCCTTCGCTGCCCTTCGCGGCCCCGTTGCAGCCCTTCGTGGCCCCCTTGCTGCCCTTCGTGGCCCCGTTGCAGCCCTTCGTTGCCCCCTCGCTGCCCTTCGTGGCCCCGTTGCTCCGTTGCAGCGCTTCGTGGCCCCGTTGCAGCCCTTCGTGGCCCCGTTGTGGCCCTTCGTGGCCCCCTCGCTGCCTCCCGTGGCTCCGTTGCAGCTCTTCGTGGTGGCCCTCTCGCTGACTTTCGCGGCCCCGTTGCACCCCTTCGTGGCCCCTTCGTTGCCCTTCGTGGCCCTGGTGCAGCCCTTCGTGGCCCCCTCGCTGCCTTTCGCTTGCCCCTTATGTGTATGCCCTTCGTGCCCCCCGCTCGTTCGCGCCCTTCGTGGCCCGTTTTGCACGCGCTTCGTGGCCCCGCTGTCGCCCTTCGTGGCCCCCTCGCTGCCCTTCGTGGCCCCGTTGCTGCCCTCAGTGGCCCCGTGTTTGCTTTTTGCGGCCCAACATACGTATGCCCTTCGTGGCTCCCGCTCGTTCGCGCCCGTCGTGGCCCCATATGCGTGCCCTTCGTGGCCCCGCTGTCGCCTTTTGTGGCTCCCTCGCTGTCCTACGTGGCCCCATTGCTATTCTCACTGGCCCTGTCGTTGGCTTCTGTGGCCCCGCATCATCTGCTCTTCGTGGCCCCCCGCTCGTTCGTACTCTTCGTGGCCCCATACGCTTGCTCTTCGTGGCCCCGCTGTCGCTCTTCGTGCCCCCCTTCCTGCCCTTCGTGGCTCCGCTGTCGCTCTCACTCCCGCTTTCGCTTTCGCTCGTCGTCGTCGCCGTCGTCGTCGTCCTCGCCGTCGTCGTCGTCGTCGTGGTCGGTCCCCTGTCCGTCCCTCTTGGGGTCGGGCTGCCGCCGATCAGCGCTGCCGGTGGCCAGGCCGACGGTCCGCGGCCGCCCTGCCGCTTGCAGGGGCCCGGCCTGCAGGGAAGAAAGATATATGCCCGAAAAGGGTTTGCGATCGAAGACGAAGAGGGCGGGTATCGAGGGTATGGGAAATACACGTTGAATGACTTTCGAGCATACAAGAGCGAGCAGTATGAACATGATTGTTTTGCTGCTGTTGGTGTTGTTGGTACCGGTGCTGGTGCTGGTGCTGGCGTCGACGATGTTGCTGCTGCTGCTGTTCTTGTTGTTGTCGTTGCTGCTGCTGCTGCTGCCGTTGATGTTGGTGCTGCTGCTGTTGTTGCGGTGGTGCGGTGGCGCCCGGGCGGGCGGCGGGCGGCCGTGGCGGCCGTGCCGATCGGGGGCGGCTCGCGCCCCCCCGGGAGCGGCCGGCAGGCGCGGCTGGCCGCGGAGAGCCGGCAGTCCTCCACCCTGCGGTCCCACTGGCGCCGCCCCTGCTCGGGGCGATGGGGGTGGGCTCGTTATATGGGGAGAGTCCGGGAGGCCTCGCGCGGCGCGCACACGCCGGTCGTTGAAGGTAGGTATGTTCGGACTCCCAGACCCCAATTCTGCTTCCAGAGCCTTCCTACCTCAAGAATCGGCACGAGTTTGCAGTGTTTTGTGCTATTCTCCGGGAGGGCCTGGACCCACTCCACTTTATCCGCCTTCCTACTTCATGCTTTTACGTACATCTTCCGACCGACGTGTAATGGTTGTACTAGTACTAGTTCACACGCCACCTCCGTAAGCTGTGGGTCGACGCTCGCGCGGCGATGCTCCGGCGTCGGTCCGACGCAAATCCGACGTAGTCCGACGTGAACCCGACGTGAATCCGACGTGGATCCGACGTAAATCGGGTCTCAAGTTGCCGCGCGAGGCCTCCAGGAGTTTCCTCACAAGTCTCGGAAAGGGTTTGCACAACGACCAACAGCAGTTCCTGTCCATTTTGAACCGGACGCGCTGTCGGTGTCGCCGCGGCCTGTGTCCTTTTGAGACGGAAGGCCGCCTGCCCAACAACGGCCGCTGTTGGTTTGGGACACAAATTGTTGTTGGGCATTGTACCCGTTGCTTCAAACAGTGGCGAAGCGTCCTGGCTGGCCTATTGGCCCACCGAAACATGTGATAACAACCGTCTGTGGTGTGGACGACTTGTTCTAAGAACGTGTCTGGTGTTTTGACACATCGGGTTGATGTTCTAAGAACAAGTCTTATGTTATTGGAACATGTCTGGATTCTAATGACATGCCGTCATAGGCTTATGGGAATGCCGGGACGGTCGGTCCCTGCTCAACTTCTCCGATCCTCGCCCAATGAGTGTCGGTATCTTTGAACCCCTCCCTCAGATGAGGGAACGGTGCCCAGCTCCTCTTCGCCCGTCTTCCCCTCTTTGGGCTTCCTGGAAGGCCCTCATTGCCACCGCTGGAGTCGCCTCGGAAAGTTTCTTCATAACGCACCCTGGGAGAGGTCCAGGGAGTAGCGGTATCGGTACCTGTTGGTCTCCCCGATCCCCGTCCCCACCGGGCCATGGCAGCTCAGCCTATATCCCCCATCTAGAGGGGGTGAATCGGCCAGTGGGGCCCAGGCCACGCCAGCGGGGATGGGGATCGCAGTGCAGGAAGGGGGGGGGCGGGGGGTCAACCTGGAGGGAAAGAAACACACAGACACAATTAATCGTCGACTCCCAGGAAAACATGAGCAAATATGGGAAGTGGGGGGATCTGTGTGTATTCGCCTGTGTAATACCCCTCGGAGCCCGAAGGGACCAGCCCATCTCCTCTGGAGGGGTACGTCGGCCAGTGGGGCCCAGGCCACGCCAGCGGGGACAGGGACCTCTTCCTCCTCCTCGTCCTTCTCCTCGTCCTCCTCCTCCTCCCCGTCCTCCCCGTCCTCCTCCTCCTCCTCCTCCTCCTCCTCCTCCTCCTCCTCCTCCTCCTCCTCCTCCTCCCCGTCCTCCTCCTCTATCCCCCTCCTCCTCCTCCTCCTCCGCCTCCTCCTCCTCCTCCTCCTCCTCATCCTCCTCCTCGTCCTCCTCTCCCCCCTCCTCGCCCTCCTCTCCTGCTCGCCCTCCTCCTGGCCCTCGTCCTTCTCCTCCGATGCTACTCTTCCTCCTTCCTCCTCCTCCTCCTCTCATCCTCCTCCTCCTCCTCCTCCTCAGCTCCTCCTCTCCTCCTCCTCCTCCTCCTCCTCGACCTTCCCCTCCCCCTCCCCCTCCCCCTCCCCCATCTCCTCTCCTCCTCCTCCTCTCATCCTCTCCTCCTCCTCTCCGCCTCCTCCTTCCCCTCCTCTTCCTCCTCGTGCTCATTACTCTTCCCTCCTCTCGGGCCATTGCCCTCCTCCTCCTCCTACCCCTCCTCCTCCTCCTCCTCCTCCTCCATCCTCCTCCTCCTCCTCCTCCTCCTCTCGGGCCCATGCCCTCCTCCTCATCCTCCTCCTCCTATTCTTCCTCCTGTGGGGCCCAGGCCACGCCAGCGGGGACAGGGACCGGTTGAGCGATGCTCAGAGTGCAGGCGGTTCTCCACCTTGCGGCCCCACTGCGCCGCCCCTGCCGTGCCCTTTTTCGATGCTCAAGCAGTGGCGAGGCATCCCGGCTTGCATATAGGCCCCCGAAGAGATGTTCTAGGAGCCTCTCTGTGGTTTGCGCGAGATGTTCTCAGAACGTTTCCCTGGCTGCGGCAGTGTTTGTTTGCACTACGTCGGCCATATGTTCAAAGAGCGTTGTTTATGTTTTTGGATCTTCTTTGTTCTAAGAACATGTGGTGGTAGACCTGTGGGAATGGCGGGACGGTCGGCCCCTGCTCAAGATCCTCGCCCTCGCCCTCCTCCTCGTCCTCCGCGCCCCTCCCTCAAAGAAGAAAGACCTGCATGTTCAAGCCCTTTCGAATGTCCGCGTGCGTGGACCTCTTGGACCTGCGCTGGACCCCCCTGGGGGGGCGCCTCCAGCGCCGCCCCTGGTGCGGCCCCTGGCGCGCTCAGCGCGCCAGGGAGGTGGGCCTGGCGCCAACTCAGAATATCTACCCCGTCTCCCGTAACTCTGAAACCATGCAGATGTTTCCGTTTCTGTCCTCCGCGCCCTCATTGCCTTCGTCTTCCTGTCCCGTCGGGTTTTAGCCACCAGGCCCATGGGGCATCTGGCGGCACGATGCGAGGCTCTCCCCCCGCATTGGTTTTGCTTCGGGCTGCCAGTCATGTCTGTCGGCGTGCCCTACGCAACCTTGCGTTGCAGGTGCTCTCTCTCTATATATACATATATATATACATATATATACATATATATATATATAGATGTGTGTGTTTCTCCTGTTCTCTCTCTTTCTCTCTCTCTCTCTCTCTCCCTCGGAAGAGGGGGAGGGGGAGGAGGAGAAGAAGGAGGAGGAGGAGAGGAGGAGAAGGTGGGATGATGAGGAGGAGGAGGAGGAGGAGGAACAAGAGGAAAGGGAAGGGGAGGGGGAGGGGGAGGGGAAGGGGGAGGAGGAGGAGGAGGAGGAGGGGGTGGAGGAGGAGGGGGAGGAGGGGGAGGAGGCGGCGGAGGTGTGGAAAAAAGAAGGTGAGGAGGGGGAGGAGGAGGAGGAGGAGGAGGAGGAGGAGGAGGAGAAGACGAGGAAGACGAGGAGGAAGACGAGAGGAAGACGAGGAGGAGGACGAGGAGGAGGAAGAGGAAAATGGGAGGGGGAGGAGGAGAAGAGGAGGGAGGAGGAGGAGGAGGAGGAGGGGGAGGAGGAGGGGAGGAGGGGGAGGAGTGGGAGGAGGGGGAGGAGGCGGAGGAGGAGGGGGAGGGGGAGGAAGGTGAGGAGGGGGAGGAGGAGGAGGAGGAGGAGGAGGAGGAGGAGGATGAGGAGGAGGAGGAGGAGGGGAGGAGGGGGAGGAGTGGGAGGAGGATGAGGAGGAGGAGGAGGAGGAGTACAGACCTTGGTTCAGGAGGCGTTGCTGCTGATGTCGAAACAAGTCGTCCTGTCCCGTCTTCCAGGTGCACGGATGCAGGGCGGTTTTCATAATAGCGGAATTGTCGTTGCGCTCATACCTTTGGCTCGAAGGTCCTCTTTCAAAACAGGGTCCCGCCCGAAGGAATTGCAGGCGCATGAGGGCACTCGTTTTTCCAAGGGGGCTTCGCGCAGCCAAGCAACTCGTATAGGGATTATCGAGGAGGTGACCTGGGACGGGAGGGTGCCTTGCAGCATCGTTGATGCATCTTGGATTTACTCTGGTCCCCTTTCCCCAAACAGTGCTTGCACTTAGGGGTTCCTACTTCGGATCTGAGGAACTGGGCCTGTCTGCCGCTCTGGCGGCTATGTTGCCGCCGTCGCCGCCCCGTCGCCGCCTTGTCGCCGCCCGTCGTCTGGGCCTGTCTGCCGGTCTAGCGGCCATGTTGCCGCCGTCGCCGCCGCAGAGGTTGTTCTGCAGAATCCTTTTTCCTAGACGAATATTAGGAATCCCCCCCCGACTGAATGGAATGGCGCCCTTTTTTCGCATTGCAATTTGCATCTGATTCTGCTCCACTGCCCATCCTGGATATGAATGTGTACCATCCCATGCAGGTCGGTATCCCCCCCCATCATCTTCAAAAAGTACTTAGCGCGCGCACTCGTTTTTCAACAACCATTATTTTGTCAGAAATCCCTTGCAAACCATGGGGCGTAGTGCGCACGCGCGCGTCGTCGCACGTGCATGCGGGAATATGTAAAACAAACAATAGTACCAGTGGGGATTTCAAAATAAAGTACCCCGAATTTTTACATGTAAAACCAGCTTTCCCCACAGGATGTTTGAACAAGTCTTGCGCTTGGCTTCCTTGCGGATTCTCATAGAAGTCCACATTGGTTTTCCAACATGTCCAGAAAATGCTACCACACGGGCCTCTCGCGCGCGCATGTCCGAATCGCAAGACGAACGCCCTTGCGCGCGTGCTGTCGCAAGAATATGTTGCAAAAGCGGGACGAAGTGCGCACGCTCGCATCGTCGTACGCAGGTGCCGAAATCTTTTCCATCGCCTTCAGTATCACACGGATTTCAAACTCGAGTGCCCCGAAAATGTGGAAAAATATGGTTGTTTGAAAAAGCCTGCGCTCGCGGTCTCGCGGAATCTTAAGAATATCGTTTCGTTTCTTTCCCAAGTGTGCTCTAAATTCTGCCAAACAGGCCTCGCGCGCCGCATGTCAAAATCATTCGAACACACGTGCGCGCGCGCGCCTGGGGGAGCACTATTCGTGTCAAGTCGCACCATGCGCGCCACGGGCGCGTCGGCCGCTCACGCCTGTCGAACCCTTTCAAAAACCTGCATCACCGACGCGAGGACCCGGTCATCGTCGCCAGCGTGATCAGCATCGGCGCAGTCATTGGTTTTGCCGTCGTCGTTATTTTCATCGTCGCCAGCATCGCGTCTACCGTGGTCGACTTTGCCATGATACCGCGCCCACCCGAGTCGCCGACTCGCATTGAAGTGCCCGCTGGGAAGTGCTCAGCGGCCAGCGCCACCGCGGCCGCGTCGGTCGCGCCAATCTAGCTGGCTGCTTCGCGCGCACGCGCGCCAGCGCGGCCGCGGCGATGCGCCAGCCAACGCCAGGCACTCATCGCAATCGCCGCCGCATGGGTTTGACAAGCGAAATTGCGGGCGGACGGGCGGGGTGCTTGCGCATGCAGTGGACTTGACAATTTTAAGTTCGGCGGGGTGAAGTGGATCAAATTGTATGCATCACCAAATCGATTGCCCCACATAGATTGCACCACGCAGGTTGCGCCGCATAGACTCCACCGTATAAGCCGAAGTTGCACCACCTCAATTGCACCATTGGAACTGCACATCGTAGACTGCGCACACACATCATAGAGAACCTGGCATACGTTGCACTACGCATAATACCCCACATCGCTAGCATCCCACATACTGCTTGCAACACACGGTTATCTTTTACCCTGCCCACGATTGATATGTGTTTTGGCGCGGATCACAAACGCGCCCCGTTTTCGTCGTCGGCGTCGTCGCTCTCGCGGCGCGCGCTGCGCTGCTAGGAATTCGCTCCTTTCGCGCAACGACCGCCACAGAGAGCGGGAGAGGGAAAGAGACGAACAGACAGAGAGATAGAGAGATATTGGTAATGTTGAGGTAGCGAGGTCAGCATGTTAGCCAACGCGGGCCCCAGAACAATGGGTTTCTAGCAACGCAAGATGTCTTCTCGACGTGGGGTAATCGATGTGGTGCACTTAGTTTCTGTCCGCAGTGAGTTGTCAACCCCACTGCTCGCGCAACGGCCCCGCCCGCCCGCCGGCCACTTGGGTTGCAAAACCCATGCGTCGAAGATTGCGATGAGTGCTCGGCGTCGGCTGGCGCATCGCCGCGGCCGCGCTGGCCCGCGTATGCTTTCGCGCGAACCGGCTAGCTAGTTTAGCGCGGCTGACGTGGCCGCGGCGGCGCTGGCCGTTGGGCACATGCAAGCGGGCACTTCAGTGCGAGTCGGTGACTTGGGCGAACGCGGTACCATGGCAACGTCGACAATGGTCGGCGCGATGATGTTAGTGGCGATGCGGGCGTCAATGATGACAAGAACGACGGCAAAGCCAGTGTTGCGCCGATGGCACCACGCCAGCGGCAATGACCGCGTCCTCGCGTCGGCGACGAAGGGTTTGGAACGAGCTCGACACGCGCGCGCGGTCGACGCGCGCGCGGCCGATGCGCGAGAGCGGCCCGCGCGGCATTATTCGACGCGGGCCGCGCCCCCCTCCCCCCCCCGTCCCTCCTCCAGCATGCGCGAGAGGCCCGTTTGGCAGAATTCAACGAAAATATTAAATATTTTCTGGTGTTTTAAATCCGCAGGAGCGCGAGCGCAGGCATGTTTGAAAACTGGCGCTGCACAGCCAAGTGTTTCTTCATGTGTTTACAGGGCACTCGTTTTGCACAATCATAAGGCACGCGAGATTTCTGAAGGGTGTCCAGACGCGCGCGCGTGCAGTTCGCCCCACTGTTGCAAGGGTTTTTTACGACAGCGCGCGCCCAAGGGCGTTCGAACGATTTCGACATGCGCGCGCGAGTGGCGCGTATGGTCGCAAAGGACGAAACTGTCCAAAACCGAATCATGTGGGCAAACCGCACGCATTTTGGGCAACGACGCTCGCGCGCGCGCATTTCATTCCATCTGTTGCACGTTTCTGTGTCTGTGAGTGTGTGTGTGTGTGCGGAAGTTGCTCATGTTCGAGAGATACGTGCGCTCGCATAATATGTTTTGCAGACGATGAAAGGGGGTGGGGGGGCGATGCCGGCCTGCCTGGGACGGCGCGAATTCGCATCTACGATGGGCGACGCGGGATAGATGGGATTGCTCTTTTCGGGAAGAGAATGCACGTGGAGAGCGCGCGCGGAGAAGTCCAAGGGGCACAATTGGCCCCATAGGGAACTCTTCGGAAGGCCACAGTAGCGACGTTCGCAGGCGCCTTCCCGACTCATGTCGGCACACTTTTCACACGTTTCGTGGCAGAAGGTGATACCGCGTGCGCTACTCGGAGTGTGCGCGTCCCCCCTTTTCGTCTCATCTCCCTCGCGGCACTCGCAGCTGCATATGGTTGGGTTCTTCGTCGGGCTATTTTGTTGCGGCCGCATCGTGCTCTAAGCATGCCCTTACCTCTTGGTTCATGTTTTATTGGGCTGAAGAGATGAGCAGATGAACCGTCCATTTGTTTGTGATTGCAGCAGGAATTAGCAATGCCCGTAATGTTTGGTTCATACTTTGCGGCCGTAGCAGGATTTGTTAGGGGATTGCGAACAAGAGCCGATCATGTCTTTGAGAAGGGTCGGAAAATGAACAGTTCATCCTGGAGGAAAAGTTGAACCATCTGTTTTTCCGAATTGAACACAAAAGGACCACATTATTCCGTTCTCCAAAAGGGCCCCTTGCAAACGTTTCCATCTTCCGTAAGATCAACCGTTACACACATACATACATACCTACCTACCTACCTACCTACCTACCTACCTACCTACCTACATACATACATACATACATGCATGCATACATACATACATACATACACACACAAACATACATACATAAATGCACGTAGCCATAGTCATCTATGCATATATATATGAGCCCTTGTCTATACCTATACATGAACAACACAAACACATATTCAAACACAGCTATGACTATATGTGTGTACAGACACATGTACATCTACATTTCGCACCAAACGAATGCAGCGATGGAGGCAGAGAGACAGACACATCAGAAAATACATAAAGACATTAGGACAACTATCTAGAGAGAAGGGGAAAGAGAGGATGAGAAAGATCATGAGAGAGAGAGAGAGCGCGGGGTAGCAAGGCGGAGCGGAGCGGTGGACTGGCAAGGGGGAGAGGCAAGGCGGGAGAGAGCACGGGGGGGGAGGTGCCACATGCCAGATCGAGGCGTCTCCCCCACTCCTCCTTCCTCCGCCCTCCTCCCCCGCCCCTGTTCAAAGTCACGGGAAGGACTGTACCATTGGAGCCAATAGTGCACACTCGAGATCGTGAAGTAACCATGCGCTACGATGTCTGAGTGTCGGCGCTCTGGCGCCCCCGCCGAGCTCTTAGAGGGCCGGCTCCCGGGGCGCACACCGGCGCCTGTCCTGTCCCGTGCTCCCCCACGCCTCCCTCGCCTGGCCAATATGATGAAGATGCCGAGGACCACGAGAGGAGGAGGAGGAGGAGGAGGAGGAGGAGGAGGAGGAGGAGGAGGAGGGCCACAACAGGAGGAGGAGGAGGAGGAGGAGGAGGAGGAGCTGGGAGCCAGGGCCCCACGCAGGTCCGAGCTGGCGGCCTCGCAGGCCGAGCTGGCGAGCCTGGACCAGCTGTGCAGCGAGCTGAAGCTGGCAGCCGCACAGCGCGAGGCGGGCGCCCTTCCCCCCGGGGGGGGGTCGACTCGAGGTTCAAGGTACTGCCAGGGATCGTCGTCGTCGCCGTCCTCCTCTCCCACCTCCTCCTCCTCCTTCTGCTCCTCCTCCTCCTCCGTAGCCATTTTGGCTCAAGCCGCTGGCGCTCGAGCGAGCGCGAATTCCCGCCAGGGTCCCGCCTCGTGCGGAAGAGGCGGGGGCGGCGCGCCTCTTTTTCGAACCCGCACAGAAGACATGCCCACAGATGACATGGCCCCTCTCTCGACACGGCTAGCCGCGTATGTGCCTGGCAAAGAGAATGTTCCTCCAGCGGCTGCACAGATGGAGAGTTCAGCCGCGCTCGCCAACGGCGCCCAGTTCATGAGCCCACTACGTACGACCAAGATGGACGAGGCTTTGACCCCTGGAGTGGCCCCGCGCCCTATGATGGGGGAAGACAAGAGGGCTCGGACCGAGACCCCCGCTGCTGGGCCTCCTGGAGTGCCGAAATTGCCTGGTGCTGTGGATGGTCTATCCCCTACGGTTGAGACAGACCGCGCGTTCATGGAGAGGATGTTCACGAGGTTCGACAACTCCTTCACGGAGCTGAAGTCCACGTTGAAAGAGGACATGGGCAGAGTTCAGAAGCAGCTCATCAAGCACCAGGGCCAGATCGACCAGGGCAGTAGAAGGATGGAGGAGATTGACAAGCAGGTGAGCTACCTCACCAAGGAACTGGCCATTGCAAAGACGGAGTCCGCTCTCCAGACGGAGGACTTCAACCAACGATTCGCGGACAAGGAAGAGATGGGGAAGCGCCTGGCGGACATCGAAGCCAAGACGGCGATCCTCATGGCGGAACAGATGGCGGCACAGAAGGACATCGAAGTGCTCAAGAGAACCCCTGTTGCGGCACCTGCGGGGGGAACGGGCCCTACTGCCCCTCGGGGGCCTCGGTGGGCGCTCACCCCTCGGGACCAGCGCAATATCTTCGTCATCACGTGCCTCGGCTGGAACCTCAGAGACGTTGACTGCGAGAAGGCCGCTAGAGATCTCCTCTCCGAGGTAGGCGCCGACCAGAACGACATCATCGAGCTGAAGGCCCCCCTACGCGTACGGCAGCCTCGTCGAGATCAAGTACCGCGACATCCAGGCTGGCCACGAAGTTGCAGCAAAAGTCAAAGGGCTCGCAAGGAAGGGCTCGACTGGCAGATTGATTTGGATGGGAACCATCAGCACGAAGGAGGAGCGAGCCCCCGCCAAGGCCTGGACGAACTTGAAGGAGCAAGTTCCCGACGTCATCACGGCGACGAGGCCAGGAGCCACGATCGTCTTCTGCGACCGCAGCCGCCAGGTATACGTCGACCACGGCCTGATCTTTAAGTACTCTCTTGGCGAGGTGAAGTGGGCCACCTGCGAGGAAGGCAGCCCAATGCACACCCTGCAGCAGGCTGTGAAGGACGTGGTGGCGAGGGCCACCAGCTGAGAACCCGATCTACGAGATGCATGGGTGGCCGCCCTGAACGTCCAGGGGCGGGGCGGCACGATAGAGGAGCTCACCGCGATCATCGAGGGTCTTGAGTGCAGGTGCTGGGCCATCATGGGGTTCCTCGAGGCTGATCATCTCAGGCGTCCTCTCGCCCATGACGGTCAGTTTCGACGGGTTCGTGGTGGTCATCTTCATCTTCGCCACTACCCTGGTGAGGGCTCTTGGGCTTACTCTGTCTTAATTAATGGGAATTTGAAAGCACGTGTGACGAGCCACGAGTGTGGGGAGAGATCTTGCAGGATCGACCTCGCCTGTCGGAGCTCTGATAACCAGAAATGCGTGAAGAGCATCTTGTTTAGCCACCTTCCTCCCGACGACCGCTTCGAGGACGGTGTGGCTGAAGCTGTTGCACTTGGGAAGTCTATACCTAGAGATTCGGCCCTGATCTGGGCAGGGGACATGAACGCGGACAAGTTCAAACCATGGCAGAATCGTTGGAAGTTATTTTTGAATACGGCTTTCTCTCTTGGGCTCAAAGTTGAGGCACCCATTTTCCGCGAGTCTGATGAGGAGCTCCATTGCACGAGGAGACCTGACGGGGCACAACAGGCTGCGAATGCTTGGATAGACCACATTGCGATCCCTTCGGCGATGACAGCATACACCTATGTCCAATGGAGAGGCTGCCCTGGGGATCACGCTTGCATATTCACCAATTGCCTGCTGGAGGTCAGGCGCCCGCGGACTCGGACGGCCACGTGCTGGAGGCCGACTGAGAACATCCAGATCTTTAATGTTGCTGGTCGGTTGCACCCTCCGATCTGCGAGCTCGTGCGTTGCGATGACATGCAACGGTATGACTCGTGCAGGCTTGTTTACCACGAGGCCAATGAGGAGGAGGAGAAGGACATCGAGGTTTGGGAATCCAGGTTAGCTGATGTTGTCAAAGCCACCGAGGACAAAACACCTTCCAGGGTCAGGAGACTGGTTTCGGAGCCGCTTTGGATCAAGGAGTTGAGGAGGAGAGTCAGGTGTGAGCTTTCAGACATGTCACGGATCGAAAAGCAGAAGGATCTTTACAGAGGCCTGAGGATTTTGCGTAAGGACCTCGCTGATCGGAGACAAGCTCAGTCGTGGCGCTTCGGGGCCAAGGTCTGGAGATCTGCGAAGGGCTTGGCTCCCGTGCAGGGTCTCCTGGAGGATCTGCCCCGGGGGACCGACTCGCCCGCTGTCATCATCATCGACCCCGTCAGGTGCGCGCGCATGGCATTTTCAGAGTACTACAGCAGGTGGAACCTGCCAGCTGCGGAGATTTCTGATGAACTTGCACTGCTGCGCCAAATGGGTATGTTGAGAAACCATGGGGTCCCGCTGGTATCCGACGACATTCAGGACGCCCTGGGAGATATCAAACACCCCCGAAAGAAAGACATATTTGGAGCAGCGCCTGCAGCGATTTCGGCCGCACTTTGGACAGACAGAATGGTGCCCTGCTTTTCTCAAGCTTTGTCGAAGCGAAAGGTCTGGTCGTCCATAACGCTCAAGGCCACGATCGGGAATAAGTCGTCTCATATCGATAGTGTTCGCCAGACCAGAGTTTTAGTACCGCAGTGTACCATAGGCAATGTGTGCCACGCCATCGTTAGACAGAAGATCGAGCCGTACATTTTCGCATATTCGAAGAAACATGGGATGGAGGAGATGGTGAAGGGGTTCGGGAAGGGCGGGCAGATTCAGGAGGTCTATTTCATGGTATCCCAGAGCCTCGAGATTGGGAGGGACAGGAACGATCTTGCCGCCGTCGCAGGCGGCGACATCAAGTCTCACCACGATTCCATCGGCTACTCTTGTATCGCCAGAGGTTTGCTTGGTCGGGATGTTCCAGTTGGCCTCGTGGCGGCAGTAATTTCACTCCATATGGAGCCCCGTGTACAGATCACGATTCTTGGCGAGGTCTCGGACCCAATTTCTCGGACGAGAGGTCTTCACACTGGTGCCTCTTCTGCTGGGCTCTGCGCTCGAGTGTCGGTCGAGGACGGTCTGAACAAGGCTCGGGAAGTCTGGGTGGAGAGGGAGATGGGTCTGATGCTCAAGTCGGTTCGTCTCACCTTTGCCTCCTGGTCCGACAACCTTTTCACGTTTGCTAGCTCGGTCGAGACCGCCACTGAGATGATGAACATCTTGGAAAACGAATTGAGGGTGAGACATAAGCTCCACATCAAACCTTCCTCAAGATTTGTATTGCGTGCTTCGCCGACCGTCTACCCCGACAGCGAGTATAGGGACAGCCTTGGGAGAGTGTGGGCTCTCACTGCTGCGACCCAGGTGCTGGGTCCCACCATTTCCGTCATAGGTTCGAACTGCGACGACCTGAACAGGACCTGGGAGACCATCAGGAAAGTGTTCTGGAAAAACAGCCGTTTTTTATGCAACACGATCATCCCGATTGACAAGCGAATCGCGAAGTTCGACTCGATCGCGATGGGCATCATCCGCTCCCGTTCGGCCGCGTGGACTCCGAACCAGGCTGCGATTCGTTTCCTGGACTCCAAACAGATGAAGGTTCTGACGTGGATGCTGAGGCTCAGGAGGCTCCCGCATGAGGAAAGTAGAGCATTCTGCACTAGGCGTGCGCGTAGGATTCGGGGGCTCCTGCAGGTACAATGGGCCCGCATTTTCCTCCAGTCTGTTCTCTCTTGGTTGTCCCACCTCCAGAGGCACCAGGATTCTTTACTTTATCAGTGTTTTCTCGAACAGGGAGCGGACTGGGTTGCTAGCCAGCGCCGCCAATGGATTTCCCCAAACAGCTGCAGTAGTAAGACATTTACTCGGAGTGCTAGGGGCAAGGTCATTCGCTGGGATAACGGGTGGACTAAGACGTTCGACCCTGAAGGTTCCAGAGATCCCCAGCTCCTGCACGCCCTCTCCCTCCGCCTCCTGTCTCACCTTGGTGGCAAGAATAAGGTGCCTGCACGATAGCTTTCAGTCTCAGGGGAGGGCCAGGGATCCGCTTTGGGGAGCGCCTCACTCACTCACTCACTCCTCCTCCTCCTCCTCCTCCTCCTCCTCCTCCTCCTTCTGCTCCTCCTCCTTCTCCTCCTCCTGCTCCTCCTCCTCCTCCTCCTCGCTGGGGAGGTCCAGGCCTCCCAGATGGGGTCGGGGTGGACGCGGCCGGAGAGTCGCACCTGGCATCGCCGATGCATCGGAGGTGCGGCTCGATGTGTGGAGCCCGAGATTTCATCCACGCCGGCGTCGCCGCTGCATCGGAGCTGCAGCTCGGTGTTCGAAGGGATTATCCCGGCAAAGCAACCTAACAGCGATGTGTAGGAGCATATCTGGAAGCATTTCCCTTAAGATTCACATGAGAATCCAGTTGTAGAATTCTGCTGTTCTCGCAGTCGCAGTCGCATTCGCGATGAAAGTCGCAGTGGCAACGGCAGTCGCAGTCACAGCCTCAGCCTCAGCCTGCCTCAGCCTCAGCCTCAGCCTGCCTCAGCCTCAGCCTCAGCCTCAGCCTGCTTCAGCCTCAGCCTCAGTCTTCAGCCTCCTCAGCCTCAGCCTGCCTCAGCCTCAGCCTGCATCAGCCTCAGCCTCTGCCTCCTCATCAGCCTCAGCCTCAGCCTCAGCCTCAGCCTGCCTCAGCCTCAGCCTGCCTCAGCCTCAGCCTCAGCCTGCCTCAGCCTCAGCCTCAGCCTCAGCCTGCTTCAGCCTCGGCCTCAGTCTGCCTTCAGCCTCGGCCTCAGCCTCAGCCTGCCTCAGCAGCCTCAGTCCATCAGCCTGCCTCAGCCTCAGCCTCCCTGCCTCAGCCTCAGCCTCAGCCTGCCTCAGCCTCAGCCTCAGCCTGCTTCAGCCTCAGCCTCAGTCTGCCTTCAGCCTCGGCCTCAGCCTGCCTCAGCCTCAGCCTGCTCAGCCTCACCCTGCCTCAGCCTCAGCCTCAGCCTGCCTCAGCCTCAGCCTGCTTCAGCCTCAGCCTCAGCCTGCCTCAGGAATGGAATTCTGGGAACTCGAAGACCACGAAGTGGCCTACAGTTGGCTCCGGGCATTCAAAATCATACCCAGGAATGGAGTTCTGGGAGCTCGAAGAAGACGAAGTGGCCTACAGTTGGCTCCGGACATCCAAAATGTGGCCCGGGAGTGGAGTTCTGGGAACTCGAAGACCACGAAGTGGCCTACAGTTGGCTCCGGGCACCCAAAATGTGGCCCGGGAATGGAGTTCTGGAAACTCGAAGACCACGAAGTGGCCTACAGTTGGCTCCGGGCATCCAAAATGTGGCCCGGGAATGGAGTTCTGGGAACTCGAAGACCACGAAGTGGCCTACAGTTGGCTCCGGGCATCCAAAATGTGGCCCGGGAATGGAGTTCTGGGAACTCGAAGACCACGAAGTGGCCTACAGTTGGCTCCGGGCATCCAAAATGTACGCCCGGGAATGGAGTTCTAGCAGCGCCAAGAGCGATTTTGCGAGGATGTCCCAGGCGATTTGGGCTTCGACGGCAGCCGCCCCGGGTCCCGCCCCGACCCCCCTGAGGAGTCATGATGCTCTCTTTTGAGCCTACTAGAAACCTATCAGTCTTCGCTGTTAGGTAAAAAACCTATGAACATAAACTTTTGGCGCTCCGCGCGGATTTCTTGGATCCGCGCTGGGCCCCCCCAGCGGCGCCTCCGGCGGCGCCCCTGGCGCGGATCTAAGAAACCCGCGCGGACCTCCAAAAGTTTATGTATATGTGGTTTTTGTTTTTCCTCTAGATGTGGAGCGCGAGCTTTTCTCCACGCTGGCATCGCCGATGCATCGGCCATGTGGCGCGATCCACCGACCACATCTACTCCCACATCATCTGGAAGGCCTCTGGTCTGAATTGGCGGCCGGTGCCCGTCGGCCCGGTCCACGCTTGCCAGCCAGTCCGGTGCGTCGGGGTCGGTCGTTTTTGCGCGGCTTGCTGTGCATGGGCTCCCGTGGCCTTTCCCCCCCCCTCCCCTCGCCCTCGCGCCCCACCCGCCCCCCCGCGCCGCCTCCTTTCCCTTCGCTCGTCTGTCGTGTCGTGCCACTGGGCTCCGTCTGCGCTTGTTAAAAAGGAAAGTGCATCAGTGTTGGCCGCGGCTTGTTGCGTGGACTCCAGTTAGCGCGCTCCTACCCCGGCGCGTACCCCCTCCGTAGTCACACCCCGCCGGTGTGCCAGGGCTGCTCGGAGGGCGCGGCGAGAAAGCGATGGCCCAGGGGCAGCAAGCAGCATCGCATTCCCCCGTCCCTCCTCCCTTCCTCTCGCCCCCCCTGCTCCTGAGACGATCATCCTCCTCCTTCTCCGCCGCTTCGGCCCCCTCCCCTCCCCTCCCCTTCGCGTACCTCCCTAGATCCCCCCATCCTCTGCCCGGTCGCTTCCCTCCCATGCCCTCCCGCCCCTCCTCCTGCCCACTGTTGAAGGCAAGGGAGGAGGAGGAGGAGGAGGAGGAGGAGGAGGAGGAGGAGGAGTAGGAGGAGGAGGAGGAGGAGGATAACGAAGGCGAGGAGGGGGAGTAGGCGTAGGAGGAGGAGGAGGAGGAGGAGGAGGAGGAGGAGGAGGAGGAGGAGGAGGAGGAGGAGGAGGAGGAGGAGGAGGAGGAGGAGTGGGAGAGCCGAACTCGTGCCTGGCAGGTGCCGGCCCAAGAGCCCCACGCGGGCCGAGGGGGATGGCAGGGGCCCAGGAAGGCAGGGGGGCAGACGGCAGGGCGGGGCCCCTTGGAGACCTCTTGGGGGCTGCTGGGGCCATCTCGGGGCGGAGGGCTCGGAGAGCTCATCCGCTTTCCCCCTCCTGGCTCGTTTTTGGGCCTCCTGGGCTCGTCTTGGGGGCTGGCGCCAGCCCTCCCCCGCCCCCTCCGCCCCCCGCCCCGGGCGGCCCGCAGCCCGCAGGCCCAGTGCAGGACGGAGGCGCAGAAGGAGCGCGCGCAGGTGTCGGAGCTTCGGCGGGGAGGGGATGGGCCCTCCCCATTCCTCTTCGCTCCTCCTCCTCCTCCTCCTCCTCCTCCTCCTCCTCCTCCTCCTCCTGATCCCCGTCTTCGGTCCTCCTCCTTTCTCTTTCCTCCTTCTCTTCCTCCTCCTCCTCCTCCTCCTCCTTCTCCTCCTCCTCCTCCTCCTCCTCCTCCTCATTGTCTTTCCTTCTTTGCCAAGAGGGAGAGGGGGAGGAGAAGGAGAGGACGATGGGAATTATAGTCTTTGATCACCACGGGCGAAGGACGGGGAGACGGCCCGTGGAGGGGAGGCACGAGGAGGACGGGGAGCGGAGGGGAGAATGGAAGAAGGATGCGGAGGATGCGGTGGAGGGAAAGATGCAATGGAGGAAGAGGAGGAGGAGGTGGTGGAGGAGGAGGACGACGACGAGGAGGAGGAGTAGAAGGAAGGCGGTGGAGGAGGACTATGGGAAGGAATGATATGGATGATATGGAGGAGGAGGAGGAGGAGGAGGAGGAGGAGGAGGAGGAGGGGAGGAGGAAAAGGAGGAGGAAAAGGAGGAGGAAGGAGGAGCAGGAGGAGGAGGAGGAGGAGGAGGAGGAGGAGGAGGAGGAGGCGGAGGAGGAGGAGGAGGGGGACGAGGGGGAAGGGAGGTGGAGGAAAGTGGAGGAGGAGGTGGAGGAGAGGAGGGAGGAGGAGGAGGGGGGAGGGGAGGAGGAGAGGAGGAGGCAGGAGGAGGAGAGAAGAGGAGGGAGACGAGGGGAGAAGGAGGGGGGGGAAGTGAGGAGGAGGAGGAGGAGGAGGAGGTTCGGAGGGGAGGAGGAGAGGAGGAGGAGGCGGAGGAGGAGGAGGAGGAGGAGGAGGAGGAGGAGGTGGAGGTGGAAGTGGAGGAGGAGGAGCGAACACCACGGAGTGATCCCAGAGGCGAGTTCGCAGCAGCAGCAGCAGCAGCAGCAGCAGCAGCAGCAGCAGAAGGAGGAGGAGGAGGAGGAGGAGGAGGAGGAGGAGGAGCAGGAGCAGGAGCAGGAGCAGGATCAGGAGGGCGACGTCGACTACGTTGGCGGCGACCCCCGCTGGGGACGGGGGGGGCAGGCTGCAGCTCCAGGTCGCCCGCGACGGGCTGGTCACCCCGCGCAAGGCGCGCGGGCGCCGCGGCCGGGCGGGGAAGAGAATCGGGACGATCCTCCGACAACAGGCCACCTGCCCAACAGCGGCCGCTGTCGGTATTGGGCAACATCGGGCGTCCAAAGAGGAGGAGGAGAAGGAGGAGGAAGGGGAGGAGGAGGAGCAAGATGAGAACGAGGAGGAGGAGGAGGAGGACGAATGGGAGGAGGACGAATGGGAGGAGGAGGAGGAGGAGGAGGAGGAGGAGGAGGAGGAGGAGGAGGAGGACGAATGGGAGAAGGAGGTGGAGGGTACTGAGGGTACTGACAACTCGGGCACGTCATGGTGCCCCTCGCCACACGGCGTCTTTAGAACTTACTCGCTATCGATAAGCTCGGGTGGCTCCTTCTGAGACCTCTGGCAGGACCTTTCCCACTGCACAAGGTCGTCAGGCGAGGCGAAACCATGCAGCTTGGCGACTGAGACAGCCTGCAGGCCCCGAAAGCAGAGGAGGCGAGACCTCCCCCCCGCACCAGATCCTCTGGAAACACGGCTCTCGTGACTGCCAGCCGATCCTTGTCCTCCAACAGACTCGCTGTCAGGGCTCCCCGCAGCAGCAGCAGCAGAGCCCCCACCAGCAACAAGCAGAGGAGCCCACACAGCTTTCATCGCAAGAGTCGGTCCAAAGGCAGGGCCCACCCTGGCTTTACCATGGGCGCGCCCTGGGAACAACGCCCGCTTCAACTTCGACCGCTTGGTCTTGAGGCCAGGATGCTTAGAACCATTGCACTCCTCTCTGAGTCCTCGCGCCGACGTGTGCGCCGAGGCTCCACAAACTTTGCAAAACAACGTGTCATTTAAGTCTCTGCCCTGGTCAGTGACAGGGGCTTTCACTAGCGAATGGCCCCTGGCAGCCCAGGGGGCACCAGAGACAGAGACACAGGAATCATCAACTTCCCCCGCTTCAGCAGACCCTGTCACAATGGGCGGAGGGGGGGGGGCCAGGAGCGGGGCGAGGAGGATCAGCCTCTACTGCCAAGGCCCAGTCCCCGAACGGCGCCACACCTTCATCTAAACAGGCCTGAATTAGACCAGGGTGAAGGTCCACATCCAAGAAAATGTCCGCAGTACCGACCAGATCCTGCGAGTCAGGCTGCTCTAATGATCCGAAAACTTCCTGACACATGCTCTGCCATTTGACAATGTCCGAGGCAATTCTTTCACACCCCGAGACAAAACCAAGGTGATCCTGAGGAACGTTCCAGAGACGGGCTCCTCTCTTGGCCCACTCATCAGCAATAGCATTACATGTAATCAGCCATTCGTCCTGATCCGAGGTAGCTGCACCTAGGCTCCTGTGAGCCTCGACTTTGCAAACAGTTGCCATTCTGCCAATGCCACTCCACCAGTCTCCCCACATGTGACGACGAGGGTTAGAGGCTGAGAGGGCAATGCTGTCGCACAGCCTAGCGCGCCAGAACAATCAGTGTGGACAACCAGCGGGTGGTCAGTGGACCATTCACTAATCTGAGAGAGCATCCTGAACCCCCAGTCCTCCCCGTCCCGAGCCGCCTGTCCCGGGGCCGCGCGGAGCGGCACCGCGCCGTGCATGGCGCCGACCAAGCTGCCATCCGGGTCAATCTGAATGACCGACCATCCTGCGCGACTGAAGCCCTGGAGGCGGGAATGGAACGCCGAGCCGTCTACAAAGACAGCGCCCGAAAACTTCCACCCAGGGAAAACTCTTACAAACCTGAGCTGGCCCTCCTGAGGTACCTCTTCGCAAGGGGAGCAGGGGGACGGGGAGGGGCAGAGGCATCTGGCCATGAGCTCTCTAGCTTCCTCCCCGATCTGCCTCACATAATGGGCGGCCTGCGTGACATGCGGAGGGCATTCCTCTCGCCTGACCGGGAGACACCTGGGGCAACCATAAAGGCGGTGCCACAGGGTGCCTCTCGTGCCACAATGAGCGCAAGCATCTGACTGAGCCTTACCCCTAGAATGCCACCGAGCTTGAAGCCAGTCGGATCCACCGACCAGGCTCCGAATGGCCGCAGCACGATGCCGCGACCAGCTGCCGTCAAAGTCCCGAGTGATGAGGCGAGCGAGGGGAGGCCAGTTGAGGGGGGGAGGGGGGGGGGCAGGGGGCTTGGAGCCTCTCCAACGCCGCAATGTCTGATGCCTGGAGCGCCGAAGGCCTGACAAGATCAACAAAGAATGCAGGAGAGAAGTCAGCAACGTTGAACTCCCCTCGCCTGGGATGCCAACGCACATCGGCAGAGAGCAAGGTGCAACCGATCTTGGCGAGAGAAAGAACAGCAGCCTGAGACGGGTCAACAACTTGTGACCAAGGCCTCGTTCCTTTTCCAGCAGACAATGCGCTTCCTGCGGGCAGGCCTGGAGTGGGCCCAGCCCTGGCAGGACAGACTGCACACTCAATGCCCAATGCTTGATCACATCACAGACCACAACAACGCAGGGATCTCTGGTGGCCACTCTGGGGGTGGCACGCAACCTGAGAGCAACCGAGGTACCGGGAGGAACCCGCCCTTCCCCTCTGAGAGTGGCTAGCGGCTAGCCTGGGAGCAGCAAGCTCCAGGTCAGCACTGCCCGTGGCCGCCGCCCCCCACGCCGCCGTCGCCGTAGGAGAGCCCCTCACCATCGTGCCGACGCTTGCCCCAGCTTCCCTCAGAGCAAAAACACGTGCTGATACCGAGGCCGGTTTAGCCATCTTTTTGTTCTGCCCCGTGACACTTCACGCAGCGCCACTGTTGGCGTCTGCGCCTAGAACCCTGCCGCTGCTGAGCCTTTGCCCAGAGCCGATGTTCCCCTTCTGGTTGAGGTCTTCGTCAAGATCCACCGAGCTAGTCATGTAACCAGTCTTGTCCCATTTGACGACTAACTGTCTGCGCTGCAGCGCGGCCAATTGATTCGACGTGGCTTGAGGGAATTGCTCAAGCACATGGAGACGACCTCCCATGGCCTGCAAGGGGAAGTCATCGACTAAATTCTAAGACATGACGGCGGGATACTTCCGTTGGAGAGAGAGACATTCACAGCGTGGACTAAAAGCTTGGCCAGAGCAAGCGCGCAATTGCAACCAGCCGCGACGGCGCCGCTAGCTCTGGCAGCGCCTGAAATGGCAGCCTTCCACCGAGCTCTTCCGGGGAGGCGATGGCCTGCGCGAAGACACTCGAGAAGCTAAATCGGGAACCCCGTAGCCAGGCCTTCCCGCAACAGGTCCCCGTGAGAGATGTGCTCATAGTATGCGCTTAAGTCTAGCAGCCCACTGATGGCGGCGAAGCCTTTGAGCCTCGCAAATCTCTGAACCACGTTATGAACATGGCCTGCCCGATCGCAGGTTAGGCCCGATCCGCCCCGAAAGCCAAATAATTGAGAGAGAGCTCCAAGTTTCTGGCCACAGGTTGCCGAAGTCGAGACCAGATTCGCTCCCAAACCGAGGCCAGCACAATCGGCCGAACTACCAGAAGGATCCAGAGCTCCAAATCTTGCGGATGCTGCTTCCGCTTCCTCTAAATGTCCACGAACGTTCGCTTGTTACGATCAGGGAGCCACAGAACCTGACGCGGGTGCAAGTGATCCCATCCTAGCCCACGCGAGCCAGAGTAGGACGACAAGACTTCGTTCAGCTGCGCGATGGTGACCCTCGGAAGCGGCGCCCAGGGATCCAAACCACCGGGAACCAGAAGGCCCAGATGCGGGACCGAGGCCTCCGAAGGCCTAGATGGGACCACCCCAGGAGCCCAGTCCCTTGGAAGAATTTCACCATCACGCTCGGGAGCGGTCCACAACGGCTCCCACTGTTCGAGCAGGCGATCGACTGCCTGCTGACCCTCAACAGGGAGTGACGGCAAGTCGTCCGTGGCTTCCGTGTATATCTGAGTCTCTAGCAGGGGCTCTCGAACGTAGCAATAGGCAGCCCTTCCCCCTTGATCTTTGGCCGCGGCTTTGGCCCAGGCCTTCCAGGCCGACGCGCCGGCAGTTCTTTCTTCACTCTGGACTGGAAGAGTTACTCCACTGCCCCAGGTTGGAGTCCTGCGGCCAGCCTGGCAGAGCAACACGCTGAACTGTGAGAGCCTGCCTACGCTGGGCAGCCAGAGACTTGAAGCCTTTCGCTCTGGACTCTGAGCTGATAGCGGGCAATCGCATGCAGGCCGAGTAGAAGGAGGTCCACTTCCTTCCTACGGCCGACGAGACCTGCCTGAGGTCACTCTGCCAGGCGAAATCTACTGCCACGTGCTGCACTCGAAGACCTTTTGCACGCCCCGAGTAGGCCGCGGAGCACCGAGTGGATATTCCATGAAAATCCAGAAGGTACTCCTCGACATGTCTGAACCAGAGTTGACAGGCCGCTTTCAGTCCGTCGCCAAGTCTCCATGTCCAGCTGCTGCGCCCTCGTTCAGTAGGCGCTGACCGAACAGGAACTGGCTTTCAATCGGGAACTTCATGGGCAGGAGGTCTTTGGGGACTTTGGCCTCCACTGAGGGACCTTTGAGCAGCAAGCCCACAGGGAGGTGGGAGCGCGCCTGCGCTCCAGTGATGCCCTTGATGGCGCTGACGAACGGCTCGAGGACCCTGCTGCACGCAAAGTAGTCCAGTTCCCGCGCTCCGAAGGTGGGTTCCCCTGAGTAGACCACACCAGTCTTGGCCTTGGCCGCCCACTCCTGCATGTCCTCTGGGATTAGGTTCCACTGGTTCCACTCAGTTCCGATGATCCATGGGGAGGGCAGAGAGCCCACTGCATGGAGAAGACCGGCAAGTCGATCGACATTGGCTCCGGTGGGCCCGATGCTGATGTGCAAGTACACTGAGACCACAACAACAGGGATGGTGAGGCCGATGTTGACAGATATCATGTTTCGCCCACTCCAGCATGGCCTGCTCCGAGGCCCAGGCCCCAGTGTTGAGCGCCCATATGAACAGATATGACTGCATTTTGCTACCCTCGCTTCTGTCGCTTGCCATGGGCTGCAATGTCGGCCAGGAAGCGTTTGAGCTGCTCAGGGTCATCTGCAGCCACTCCCGCGGCCTTGAGCTTGTCACGGAGCTCGCTGTCCTCATGGTCGAAGTCCATTGGCCCTCCACTGGCAGCAGCACCGCCTGGAGGAGCTGCAGACGCAGCAGAGCTTGGGCCACCAGGCGGGAAAGCAGCGCAGACAGCGGGCGGCTTCGGCAACCGCTTCTGGAGCTCCTCCTCCTCCTCCTCCTCCTCCTCCTCCTCCTCCTCCTCCTTGACAGAGGCCGCCTGGAGTAGCCCTGCGGCATCCAGCCCAAAGCGCCCCGCGCACCTCCGCACCGCCTTGTCCATGACCTCGAGCAGCTCGAGCTCGGTGGGCTGGGCCGACTTCTGCGGGGCCGGTGGGCGGCTCTGGGAGGACCGACGTGGACGCGGGCTTCCTTGGTGTAGAGCTCCATTTGGCCGAGGGTGTCCTGATGGGCCTTGGACTGCGCGGGGAGGAGGAGGAGGAGGAGGAGGAGGAGGAGGAGGAGGAGGAGGAGGAGGAGGAGGAGGAGGAGGAAGAGAGGAGGAGGAGGAGGAGGAGGTTCTGCATCGAAGTGTCGCTGTGCCTCTTGCAGCGCCTCTCGCGCCTCCTTGACCGTCTCCTCGGACGTCTCGATCTGCTTCTTGTGGGTGCGCCTCTGGAGAGGATCCTGCAAGCACTTGGCGCTGAAGTCTGCTGGCGGAGGCGGCTCATCCTTTTCCTTGTCCTGGTTCTTGAACATGTCCTGCAGCTGCGTCTCCAGCTCAGAAACTTCCTTGAGACTTATTCCTTTGAGCAGCTTGATGAGACCGTCATTGGACAAGGTTGCCGCGGCAGCTGCCTTGCCCCCCTTGCCTCCGCTGCCACCTTCCCCCCCGTCCTGCACAAACCGCGGTGGTCCACTGGGCCAGCGGTTGGGGGACGGCGACACTTTGGCATTCTGTTTTGTACGCTACTGGTTGAGAACATGCTGCGGTGCTTGCGAGCCACAGTCCCGACAGGTACACTTGAAGGAGAAGTTATCGAAGGAGCAGCACGTGTAGCGACAGCGCCACGTGGTTTGACCGTGGGCCGCCTGCCACGGAGGCGCATTGCCGCCTCGATTCATGAAACACTGGGGTGGCTCGGTCCAGCTGCGCCACTTCCACGTGCGCTGGACCAAAGGTTCGCAAATCAGCTCGAAACCTGGAAATGGCTAGGAGGAGGTGAAGGAGGGGGAGGAGGAGGAGGAGGAGAAGGAGGAGGGGGCAACATCGATTGGAGGGTCGGCCTGCTTCGCGGCCCTGTCGCGCTCGGTCAGTTCGCTTCGAGCGGCCGCGGCTTCCGCTGCGGCTGCGGCGGCGTGTGGCCCGTCGGCTTCGGCCCTTCGCTGCCAGGCTCTGGTGGCGCTCGGCCCTGCTGCCGCCCGAGGGCGCCTCTACTGGCCCAGGAAGGGGGGAGGAGGAGGAGGAGGAGGAGGAGGAGGAGGAGGAGGAGGAGGAGGAGGACGAGGACGAGGAGGAGGAGGTGGAGGAGGAGCAGTAGGAGGAGGAGGAGGAGGAGGAGGAGGAGGAGGAGGAGGAGGAGGAGGACGACAACGATGGAGGAGGGAGGAGGGACGCACTCGAGAGCCGATGCATATTCGGCATGCTCGACGCTCGCGGGGGGGATAGGCATTGAGGGGATGCATCGACCCCCAATCGCCCATTGATCGCCGCTAGGGGCCCGACAGCCCCAATCCGCCCACGGATGTGCGGATTCACGATCGGAGGCCTACCGCCGATCTATCGGCGATGTATCGCCGATTCCAGGTCGATGCATCCCCCCAATTGCAGTCCCCCCCTATCGCTGCCCCTCAGGGAGGGGGTCGTCGGGGGGTCCGGGGGGGCACGTCTTGAACAAGAAGCGACGTCGGAGGCTTGGATGTGTGGGGGGGAGGACGGGCCCGATGTGGCCAACCAGGCAGGCTTCAGGATCGCAATAGAGGAGGCCGACGGACAAGCGCTTTAGAGCGTCCAGGAACGCTCTCAGAGCGTCACAGAGCGCTCCGAAACGGCAGCCGCGACCGGTGCATCCTCCAGCCCCGCCAGCTCTCAAAGATTCCCGGCTTATCTTCATCCAGATTGCTTCATCCCGCCTCCGTCTTAACAAAACACATCAGACGCCATTCTCCTGGAGCCCCCCATCCTTCTCCTCGATCGCCCATTCATCGCCCATAGGGATCCGATAGCCCACCCCGCCAAGGAACGTTCGGATTCGCCATCGGGGGCCTGTCGCAGATCCTTCGGCGATGTAGCACCGATTCCACCTCGATGTCCCCCCCCCCACAGTTGTTGCCCCCATGAACGTTGTCCCTTAAAAGCCTGGGTCCCTGATCCTCGATGTCCTCCTCCCCAACTTCCCTGGCGCGCTCTCCGGTGGGAAGGATTCCCGCGGGGAGGTGTGTGTGTGTGCTCACGGCGCGTCTGGCAGCACGCCCGCTGCACAGTGGTGCAGCAGCTCTTTTTCTGCGCGCGGGCACGCAAGCCGCACACAAGCGCGGTGTTCCCCCCTGCTCGAGGCCTCCCAGATGGGATCCGAGTAGGTGGGGTTGAAGGATCGCGCCACATCGCCTACGTATCGGCGTCCTCCTCCTCCTCCTCTTCTTCGTCATCATCATCATCATCATCATCATCATCATCATCATCATCATCATCATCATCATCATCATCATCATCATTCTCCTCCTCCAACTCATCCTCGTCTTTGTATTCATCATTATCCTCATCGGCTCGACGTGGAGTCCGATGCTCTCCGCGCCGACGGCGCCGATGCATCGGCGACGTGGCGCGACCCTCCGACCCCATCTGCTCGGACCCCAGTTGTAGGGCCTTCACTTGCGCAGTCACTGCAGTCGGACCGAGGCCTGAGCTCGAGGTCGGTGGGGAGGGTGCCCTGGAGTTCCTCGCGTCTGCTGGATGCCGGATGCTCTTGTGCACCCGGGGGTTCTGTGCGTTCTGTCCGGCCGAGGGCCCCGTGCTCCTGAGGGACGCTCTTCCGGCCTCGGTCCGACCGTGCTTGGGCCAAGGTCGGCATGGCCGCACGCGTGCCTCCCATGGCCCGAGACGTCGCACGGGCCTCCTCCTCCTCCTCCTCCTCCTCCTCCTCCTCCTCCTCCTCCGCCTAATCATCCCGCCTCCCCCTCCTCTGCCCCAGCCCGAGCCACGCTTCTAGTTTTCAGTGGAACACACACGGCTTGAAGGGCTTGGGAGCTGCTGCTGGTCCTCTCATTCTGCCTCCCCCTCCCCTCCTCCTCCTCCTCCCTCCTCCTCCTCCTCCTCCCCTCCTCCTCCTCTCCTCCGCCTCCCTCCTACTCCTCCTTCCTCCTCCCCTCCCTCCTCCTCCTCCCTCCCCTCCCTCCTCCTCCTCCTCCTCCTCCCTCATCCTTCCTCCCTCCCCCCCCCCCTCTCCTCCTCCTCCCCCCCTCCTCCTCCCTCCTCCTCTCCTCCTCCTCCTCCTCCTCCTCCTCCTCCTCCTCCTCCTCCCTCCTCCTCCTCCTTCTCCTCCTCCTCCTCCTCCTCCTCCTCCTCCTCTCCTCCTCCTCCTCCTCCTCCTCCTCCTCCTAGTCGAGATGTCTTGCACGGCGCGTCGCCGCGGCGGCCCCAGCGACACGCTGTGCCCTGCCGGCGGATGGCGCGTCGCTCTGCCTCGCGGGGTGGGAGGCTCGGATGCGCGCTCTGCAAGCGGACGCCTGGGGACCGCGAGGCGGATGAGCGTGTCTCAGGAGGGGAAAAAACTCACAGACACAAATAACCGTCGACTCCCAGGACAATATGGAAAAAGATGGGAATTGGGGGGGAAGACAAAAACCCAGCAACTATTGGAAACTATACGGGGAATCCTGTTATTTGTGTGTATTCATTTGTGTGCCCCAGGGCCCCTTCAGTGTCGCGCCGAAGCGTGGTGGGTCAGGGTTGGCGGAGCGACGCGCTAAGCCAGAGTTCCTGACCGTAGTTCGACCCATTCCTCAGAGGCAACGTCGGGGGGCCCGGCATCGCTCGGACGTGTGCATTTTTCCTCCGGCGAGGACCATCGAGGAGCAGCTTCGATCATTTGGCGAAAAAACCACGCACGAAACCGAAGAAAACACAGGGAATGGACGTCCGAGCGATGGCCAGGAGTTCCTGACCGTAGGTTGAACCATTCCTCAAAAGCAATGTCAGGAGAGGGACAGGCACAAGAGGGGGACGGACGCATCGAGCCCCGATCGCCCACCGATCGCCGATGAGGGGCCCGACAGCCCACCCCGCCCAGGAACGTGCGGCTGTGCTATCCAGGGCCTCACGCCGATCCATCGGCGATCTATCGCCGACTCCAGGTCGATCTTTCCACTCCCCCCCCCCCACCTCCTCCCACCCTTAGTGGGCCCTGGAAACGACAGGGTTGTTTTTTAACCGGTTCCGTTTTGCCGTTTTTGTTGCCGGTTCCGACGCTGTGTTTTTACCGGTTCCGTCGCCGTTTTTTGACCGGTTCCGGCTCCGGTTCCAATCCTGGAGCCGTTTTTTTGCCGTTTCCGGTCGCCGTTGGGACACTTTTGTGGAAACGGTGAAAACAGGCCCTGCCGTTTCCGGGGCCCACACAGCCCCCACCCACCTTATCGTTCGAAGAAGAAAAACGCCATACACATAAGCTTCTGACGCTCCGCGCGGATTTCTTGGATCCGCGCTGGGCCCTCCCCGGCGGCGCCTCCGGCGCCGCCCCTGAGGCGCTCCGCGCGCCGGGGAGGGGGGTCCAGCGCAGATCCAAGACACCCGCGCGGAGCGCCAAAAGTTATTGTTTATGGCGTTTTCTTCTTCTTCGAATCGTTGCCCCTCAGCGCCTCTTCCGCCCGACCCCGCGAGGCGACGACCCAGACGCCGCAGAGCGCGCCACCGCCGGCGGTCCCGCCGCCGCGGGCTGCAGACGCGGGCAGCCTGACGTTCACCCTGGACAGCCTGCAGCAGGACGGCCGGAGACTGGGAGATCGGGGACGGGAACCTTATGACGGGGGTCAATGCAAACGAGCGCCAGATCTTGCAGGATCCTGCAACGCCAGGGTTGTGTTGACCTGGGCTAGCGCGCAATGATCCTGCAGGATCCTGCAAGGCGTAAGTCGGGCATGTCCCTCTACAGGAATACTATTCAAACATAATCAAACGCTTGTATGGGGGCGATTTTTGTTAGCATTGTTTGCGCATGTCTGATGATTTGTCCACCAAAATCTGCCTGTGGGGGGACACGCCCGACCTAATGCAAGGCTTGAGTGACCCGGGTTTGCATGGACACAGGTCAGTGCGTCCCCGAGGCAAGCCGGACTCCCATATCTCCGACGATCTGATGTTTGGCCGCCCGTCCTGTTGTGTTGGGACCTCACCGCGAAGAGACAGTCCTCGCGTCCTCCCTCCCTCCATCCCTCTACCTCTTCGAGCCTTCCTCCTCCCCCCTCCTCCCTGTCTCTGCCCTCCGCCTGTCCATGTCGGCAAGACCCCTCACACGCTTCGTGGCCCAAAAGGGAGCTCCGCCCAAGGCCCACAAGTCTGGGTCCGCACACCTGGTCCTCGCCATTTCGACGCACCCCTCACATGCTTCTTGGCCCCATATGTAAGTCGGGCCTGTCCCTCTACAGGAGGAAAATGCAAAAATAGTAAAAAACAAATGTCTGGGGACGATGTGTTGAATATTGGTTGGCCATTTTTGAGTACTTTTGAATATCTTACTTTCTCGTCCAAGATCCGCCTGTAGCGGGACAGGCCCGACCTAGCCCCATACAGAGCCCCACCTGAGGCCGAAACATGTGGGTCCGCATGCCTGGTCCTCGGCACTTCCCGCGCACCCCTCACGCGCCTCGTGGCCCCAATCCCATAGAGAGGAGCTCCGCCTGAGGTCCGCACCAATCTGGGCCCGCCTGCTGGGTCATCGCCACTTCTCGGCGTGCCGTTCGCACGCCTCGTGGCCCCACAGAGGGCCCCACCTCGGGCTCAGACATGTGGGTCCGCATGCCTGGTAGGAGCCGCTTGGCATGCCTGGTCCCCGGCATTTCGACGCACCCGTCACACGCTCCGTGGGCCCCATAGGGAGCTCCACCTAAGGCCCTAGTGGTTGCGCCCGCATGCGTTCTCCTCACCATTTCGGCGCACCCTTTCACGTTTCGTGGCTTCATGGGGAGCTCCACCGAAGGTCCCAGTGGCAGGACTCGCATGCGTGCCCGCGCCCATTTCCAAACACCCCTCACACGTTCCGTGGCCCCGCCGAAGGCCCCAGTGGTTGCGCCCGCATGCTTGGCCCACAGCATTTCGGCGTACCTCTCATATGATTCGCGGCCCCATGGGGTGCTCCACCGAAGCCCCAGTGGTTGCGCCCGCATGCTTTCTCCACAACAATTCGGCGCACCCTCACACGTTTCTTGGCCCCATGAGGAGCTCGACCGACGGCCCCAGTGGCAGGAATCGCATGCGTGACCGCACCATTTTTCGCAGCACCCCTCACACGTTTCGTGGCCCCATGGGGAACTTCACCGAAGGCCCCAGTGGCAGGACTCGCATGCGTGGCCGCGCCCATTCGGGCACACCCCTCACACGCTCCGTGGCCCCATGGGCAATTCCACCGAAGGCCCCGCCGCGTGCTGCCCCCCCCGGGCCGAGCCGACAGACGCGCAGATCATTTGTGAAGAGTTCCATCCAGATGCAACCCGTTACGGCCGACTTCTGCGACCCCATCAGCAACGTCGCGCCGTCCTTCCCACGCGCGCCCTAGTCCTCAACTTCCACCTGCTTTGTGGAGCTCGTAGCTGCATGTGATTGGGTTCCTCGCCTGGCCATTTGTTCCCCGACCAGCCCGTGGTGTCTGGTCCCCCGTCTGAAGAGACAGACCCCGCGTCCTCCTGTCCTTCCTTCCTTCCTTCCTTCCTCCTTTCCTTCCTCCCTTTCTCCTCCCTCCTCCCTGCCTCTTGCCCTCCGCAGGTCCATGTCGGCACACCCATCACACGCTTCGTGGCCCCATAGGGGAGCTCCACCGAAGGCCCCAGCGGCCGCGTTCGCATGCCTGGTCCCACCATTTCGGCACACCCCTCACACGCTTCATTGCCCCATAGGGAACTCCACCGACGGCTCCAGTGGCTGCGTTCGCATCTCTGTGCCACACTATTTCGGCGCACCTCTCGCAAGTTTCGTGGCCCCAAGGGGAACTCCACCGAAGGCCTCAGCGGCTGCATTCGCATGCCTGGTCCACAACATGTCGGCGCACCCCTTACACTTTTCGTGGCCTTATGCGGAGCTCCACCTCAGGCGCCAGTGGCTGCGTTCGCGTGCTTTCTCCATACTATTTCGGCACTCCCCTCACACGCCTCGTGGCCCAACAAGGAGCTCCACCTGAGGCGCCAGTGGCTGCGTTCGCATGCCCTCTCCACACCATTTCGGCGCACCTGTCATCCGTTCCGTGGCCCCATAGGTAGCTTCACCGAAAGCCCCAGGTTCAGGAATCGCATGCGTGACCGCACCCTCTTCCCGCACCCCTCACTTGCCGTGGCTCCATAGGAAGCTCCACCGAAGGCCCCATAGTTCCAGGAGTCGCAGGCGCGGCCGCGCCCTTCCTCCGAGGGCCCGCGCATCCGCTGGATACGACGTCATAGCATGGGCCGAGCGGGAGGGCGTGACGCTGCCGCGGCACCACACGGGGTGTGGTCCGTGGGCCCGGCCGGGGGCCAGTGACCATCATTCGACTAGACGTAAGAGTGACCTTTCGCCGGAGTCACCTTTGGTGCGGGCCCAGTGGGGCCCCCTTATCGCCGAACGCGATGCCACAGTGGCGTCTTGCGCGCCTGTGTTTGGCCTCCCCGCGGCCCCCAAAAAGCCGCGCACCAAAGGTCACTCTTACCCAGGGTCACTCCTGCGTGTAGCCGAATCATAAGCGCGGCCCTTGCGTGCCCGGCCCCAGGTCCCGGTTCGCTCGACGGTTTGCGACCCTGGGGTGCCAGCAGTGCCGCCGCCATGGCCGCTGCGTGGGACGGACCTGGACCCTTCGCCGCCGGCCTGGTGTGAGCGCAAGGCCTCGCTATCCCCCGGGGGAGGTCCTCCGCGGCCTGGTCGCCTCCGTCGGAGGCGACCGTCGCCTCCGCTGCCGCCCACTGCTGTTCCACCAGTCTGCGCACCAGTCCGGTGCTTCCTCGCCGCGCCCCCTCGGCGCGCCCGCCGCCTGGGCTCCTGCGCAGCGTCCAACCGAGCGCCCCTCCCCTCCCCCCCCCCCAGTGCGCGCCACCTCTCCAGGTGGCGTGCCGCCTCTGGCACGCCCGCGCCCTCCGGCAGACGGCTCTCCGCGTGGCGGCCCGCCCCTCTCCCTGCTAAGTCCCAGGCCAGGCCGTGATGCCGTGCTCCGGCCCTGGGATGGCCTGGCGTGCCGCGCGCTGGGCCGCTCGTGCTCCCCGCAGCCCCAGCGCCTTACGGGTGGTCTTGCCCCTGTCCGCAGCTTCTCCTGCCCCGCTTCGCGGCCACCGCCGCTGCGGCCCGCCTCTCGCTT